TGCCGAGGTGAAGTCCCCGAAATCCGAGACGTTCTGGCCACTGGGTAGAGGCGCATAATTTTCCGCCCGGGGATTGAAGTCATCGTCCTCGTTGTTATCCGCGGGCCATTTGCTCGAGACTTTTAGAGATAATAAGCAAGGCTTCGTTAGCATCGGATGAAAACCACGTCAACCAATAACAACCATAATAATATTAAAAAAAAAAAAAAAAAAAAAAACACACACACACACTTTGAAAACATTTCATTTCCATATTTAATCGTGCATTTGTTGGAGCTGTTGGAGCGAAGAGTGAAAATGTAAAAGAGAGGAGTTAGGGTAACGAAATGCTTTTAAAGTACGTAAAGAATAAATAAAAGAAGAAAGAAAGAAGAAGAGAAATCGGTCTGCCGATAAGCCCCGAGATAGGCGTAATTAACACGACACGAAGTTTTCACAATTTTGCTCGCTCAACGTCTACGAATTATCCCCCTCTAACCTGTGATATTATTGTCGTTTTGCGTGTCGAAAATATCATTGAATATATCGTTCTTATTTCTGCTCGTCGGCTGCAGCTGACTCGGCGACGAGCTCACTTGGTCCTTGCCATAGTTGGCCGCGGCCCCGAGATCGACTTTTTTGATGATTCTCGGCACTCTCGTGGGCGAGGAATTATTCGTTGAAGCGACGGACGTCGTGGGTTTGCTGACCCTCTCGATGCTGTCCATCGCGTCTCTGTATTCGCGTCTCTCGCCTACTCCACTACCGGAATTTTTCTTCGAGCTCGTGTGCGCCTCATTGTCCGAGTCTTCCCGATCGCCGTCGTCGCTGAAAGTCCATATTTCAAGTCGATTATTTATTCAATTATTTATTCGATTATTTTTAATCGAACGCTAGGTAATACGATACCTCATACATTATGAATCTTACGTTTTGAATACATTTTGAATCATTTTGAATATGAGGAGACTTTGAGGTATTTCACTTCTCATGGAATGTTTCGATATGGTTATGCTATTTAGAGAACAATTAATAAATTATAAAAGTTTCCATCGTTCATCGATTATATATATATATATATATATATATATATATATATATATATATATATATATGTCAAGTCCATTAAATTTAATTCTTATTCATCTGTTATTTTCTATATTTATCCAAAAAAAAAACTTTATTTCTTTCTGAAAAATCGACAACAGTTTAATAAAAATTTTTATTCTTCCTATAGTAAAATATAGTCGTTAAATCCATTGATTCAATTGGTTTTTACTTTATGTATTTCCGATAAAAAGTTCATCGTTATATCCTCTTAATCGGTCTAATTTCGATAGGTCAATTTCTATAATGAATAATCTTTTTAAATATAATTTCATAATATTAGCAAATAGCCCAAGACCAGTGATGAAAATACTTTCACAATTAATAAAAATTATTATAGCATCATTTCTCTTACGGAGTTTTAGCTTGAATAAGTTGTAGCTTCGTTAAAAAATATTAACCAAATAATGCATTTTAAGTATATTTATAGTTTATTATAGAGTTTGAGAATTTCAACCACTAATAAAAAAATCACAAACTTTTTAATTAAATTTACTTATTGAAGTGTTTATTATTATATCGTTTATCGTCGTCGTCGTCGTCGTCGTCGTCGTCGTCGTCGTCGTCGTCGTCGTCGTCTTTGTGCGCGCGATTGATTAATTAATTAACCATTTAAAGTAGTTAAAATTTTCAAGACGCGAAATCAAAATAATTTAATTAGATTGGACGTAAGTTTAGAATTTTTATTTACATTCAATGACTCTTTCAATTTCAACAGTGGCAAACATTTACTACATTAGTCAACAAAATTCAACATAATTTTAAAATCACAGGTAGCGCGTAAATTTTATTAGGGTATTGATTTTAATAAAAGATTTAAAAGAAAAAAAAAGCATATCTTTGTTATTTACGGTACAATGTAATTTTAAATGATCGATATCGTATGCTTTCAAGAAACAAATGTATGCTGAACGTAGAACGAATTACTTGGTCGTTGGGTATTATATTATACCATTCATTATTCATGCAATACCTGATGCGCGTATGCTCGAAAAATATAAATTAATGTTTCAAACTGTTTAACGAGTGAATTTAATTAAGGTTCAAAGGTTTCGGTAAACAAGATAAAGAGAATAAATTAATTTATCTTATCTGATAAACGTAGATAAAAATTATTTGTAATCAGTAATGACTTACGTACTGAGAGGATGGGTAAGGCAGTGCCAATATACTTATTAAATTTAAAACTATCAAAGCTATTTATAATTTTCATATTTACATACTGAGACTCAAAGACTAGAAATGCGAATTCATGAATACCGATTGAAAGTATGGAATTTCATTATTAAAAATAAATTATAACCAATGAAATTAATTTATCGATAGACGTGATCGATTTTTCGATAGACTTAATCTTGATAGAGATATTTCTAAATAATAACCATGACGTATTATTTTATTTAAATGACTCAAAAAAAAAAATAACGAAAATTAATAATTTCAAGAATAATAATTTAAAAAATACATAAATGTGAATTAATATGTAAATTGGTATTTATTAAATAACAGAAAAATTGTTTAATTTTCCATATGTTGCAACGTGTAATACATCAAATAATTACTTTGAATATATGAGGATGTTTGTTTAAATTTATCATTGAAAATTAATAATTGACGATTTAACAAAATCTATTTTAGCCATATAATTCAGAATAATTTTGAGTTATAAGAAAGCACGACGGCCAAATCACGATTAAAATTTTCTCGAATATAAAATAGTTGAGGAGGTAGCCGTAGCTCAAGTATACAATGGTGTTTTATATAACAATTAATAGATCTTGGGAAATAAAAGTATAACGTAAGATTTACTGAGGTGCGACGGTAAGTCCATTGCACCAGCCAGTTTCTTTTTTTTTTGTTTTTTAATTTTGTTGTTATATCTTATTATAAAATAGAGAATCGGGGTGATTTTACTTTTTTAAATCTTTTTATTATTATTATTATTATTATTATTATTATTATTATTATTTTATTATTTACTTTTGTTTTTAATTGCACTGGTCGAATGTATGAAATATTAATGCACTTCATATTGCAATAGAAATTTGTTCAATACATGGAATTTTTGGAAATTTATTGATAGATTATCGTAATGTTCGTTAATCGAAATGGCAAAGAATATATTTAACGTCACATTGAATTAAATGCAAGTCTGAAATTGTGTTGCAAGATAATAATTATGTCGAGCATTTGGCAAATGTATTTCAAATGCAGCCACGCGAGTAAATACCGGTATTCACCAGTTCGTCTCACCTATTGTTTTCATCCTCGAATCCCTTGGGTCTATTTTCCCTGTCCCAATCGTTGTAGCCGTCGCCGCTCGTACCCGTACTCGATTTATTACTAGACCACTTTGGATTGTCCATCCACCTGTCGCCTCCTCCGCTACCCACACACATCGCCATAGCTTTGCTCGACATCCCGATGTACTTGTCCTTGTTCTTCTTGGCCTTTTTCCGCTCCTCCCGCAGCTTGTCGTCGTCCTGGATGAAGTCGATCAACTCGCGCACTTTATGCCTGATATTGATGCCCTGGTCCTTACCGAACTCGTCGACGAACGTGTAATTCTCCAAGGAACGAAGATCGTAGATGTGCTCCCGCGACGAGGTCACCACGCGTTCCGAACCATTGCGCACCAGGTAATTGAGCAAGAGTAGCGACTGAAATACATTGGTTTTCGAGATGTTGAGCTTGTATGAAACTATGCCTACATCGCATCTTTTTTATTCATTCATTTTTCTTTTCTCATCTTTCCTTCTCTCATTCACGCACATCATCGAATCGGACGAGTAGTATGCTCCCCACACAATTACGATTATTTATCGCTGCATAAATTACTAGTCGATATTTTGCCACTGATAATTAATTTTAACACTGATAATATATTATTTAAAATGTTTTACATAAACTTTGGTTATAATACTCTAGAAGAAAAAAACCCTGAGAATTTAAACAATATAGATACAATATATACACTAAATGTATTTAATATATTTAGTATTTTTTGTTTGTCGTTATGCTAAAAATATTCGATCTGCCTTTTTCGGCACGGCTACTCGCTATCCTCATCCTTTTACTAATGATCAATTTGCAAAATAATAATATCGAGAGAAATCGAATAATTTATTCATTTATACTGTATGAAACCTGATTGCCAAGTGTGCTTTAATCTCTCCATATTTTTATGATTTTGACACTTGTTATTTTGCATCTAATTTAGAAAAAAAGTATTTTCTATATGTGTCATCTACATCAAGGGTATATGGAATTAATCGTATTTACAAAATCTTTATGCACTCGCAAATAAAACTGTCGAAATTAACTTTAATCGCCTTCGGCATATTAAATCGATTTTTTTTTTAATCTATAAAATTTAAATATTTAAATAATCTAAAAAATTTTCTAATATATAAAATGTGATTTTGTTATCTATGGTTTCTTGTAACTTTGCACTTATGCCATTCATAGTTATGTTTTCAAATTATTTCAGATTATTTATGTAATTTATAGCAATTAAAAATTATCAATATTATAATTTGCAAATATATATATATATATATATATATATATATATATATATATATATATATATATATGCCCCGTTATCGAAATTGCACAGTACATTTTTCTTATCTTTAAAAAAAATTTGTTATTTCTAAACGACAATTACTAACCAAATCTTATTTAAACTGTATCAATAAAAATTACAAAAAATATCTATAAATGTATGATGATGGGGGGGGGGGGGGAGTCATACTTTGTATGTACGGCGCCAATTGCGTTTATTTTCCTGTAGCAATCTCTTCCAAAGCATCGACATCACTTCCGGGAACTGCTCATACGTGAAGGTCGCCTGTGTGAGCTCTTGCATCATGGCGCCTAACAAAAGATAAAGGTATTCTTCTTGAATTCATCTTCCAGATTTCCACTTTAATAATAATCGAATCAGCTTAATAAAATAGCTGACGATTCTTTCTTACCTGTCGGACCCCATGCATCGTCATTCGTGGCTTCGCGCACCTTCGCTTCCGTCTCTGTGTAATTCATAACGACATTGGTCCTAAAATTCAAAACGAAACATTTACGTAAAATTTGTTCAAGTACATAAAAAAATTCTTACTTATTTATACTATTAGAGTATTATTGGTTAATATGAGCAAACCGTTTTATAATCATTAAATACTATTAAGGATTACTTATTCTCTCTCTCTCTCTCTCTCACTCTTAATATATATATATATATATATACGTAGAGCATGAATTTAATAAATTTTTTAAGAAATATAATCATTTTCTTTGATTTTTTGCTACCTATAAAATGTTACATATGAACTTTTACGTGCGCACATGCGGAGAAAGTAAGAAATATACACACGTATCATAAAATTTGCTATTTAGAGTTACGTATATTTATATTAGAATTTAAAATCATATATTTCAAAGAAATAAATGATACAAAAAGATTAATTGTGTCTATAGAGTTATCGTTTCGAAAGTCGTTGTGTGATAAGCATTGCCGATCAGAGTAGTCACCTGCAATTAAAAATCCGAATAAACATTATGATTTATTAAATTGGTATTTTAATTTATTTATAATTTCCATTAATTGTGAATGATTTTTTGTTTTGTTATATATGTATGAATTTTATCAAACTAATTTTGTTCAATATACAAGTAGATAACTATTTATTACAAATAATAAAAATATCACGTTGAATAATATGTTACATATTTCGCATTTAATTCATTTTTGAAACAATGTATATTGATTTCGTATATTCAATCAGTTTAAATATTCTTCATTTCAAGCGTCTTAACATTTTTATCAACTATGAGTATATACAATGTAAAATAATACTAAAATACGTCACACGATGTATATTTCTAAATCTTAAGAACTCAATATTTTTTTCTTAATTATGTGAAATTTAAAAATCGGAATTATTAACAAAAAAAAAAAAAAAAAAAAAAAAAAAAAAAAAAATGAAATTGAATGTATAATATAAAATTTTCAAGCAAAATGTTCAGAATAAGGGTAACGGTAACATATGGTACTAACGCATATATAATTGGTTTCAAGTAATGACCTTATAAGTTTTTAATGACTTTCGAAGTTATAGATTCATTTAATTCGAATGGAAGTTAAATTAAAGTATTCAAATGAAAGTTTGAATATTTTAGAAAAATTAATTTCATTAGGAATGATTAATGAATAGTAAGTGAGTACATCCATAATGCTATTGTGTATGCCGTGATATTTATTACTTCATTTGTGTATTTAAATTTAAAACACTTAGAATCTAGATGAAAAGTTAGATTGCGAATTAGAATTTCACGTAAAATATATATAAAATAAATAATTATCATTAATATTTATCACACTTAGCAATTTTTAATTTATTTTCTACCTCCAATATTGCAGAAAAATGCTTCGTAAAAAAATGATAAATTTTATAATATGACTCAAAGCTTACGTTATTTATTATTTATGGGTTTTAAATTAGACTCAACTTTAATTTTTTTCTTCCAAGGAATGAACTCACGACTGTAGATCTAATTGGCCCAAAAAATAAACGGTAATAAAAAATACTTCACTATGTAACATTAAAATGATGTATTTTAAAGAGTTATTAAATTATTAACGGATATATTTGAAAATAAAATGCAAACTTTTATTTATATCCTGATTAGGAAATTCAATTTAGGAAAATACATTGCCGAAATCTTACAGCATTAACTCATTTTTATAAAATTATACTTGAAACATAAATTTTTTCTCTATTTTTTCTTCTATATTATATAGTATTTGTATACATTGTTAAAAATGTATAATATACCAATAATTATTATGATTATCTTGGGCTTTTTAATTTTTAGCGCTTGAGAATGTAGTAATTAATGACACACGTGAACACTCAATCATTTTTCCGATTTTATTTGCGTTCGTTCTTCCGATGCTACCCGAATCGAAAGAGAATCGAAGTTTTTCAAATATCGTCGTATGTAAATACTTATATGTATTTTTTCACACTTAAAACTCATTTATCGTTATGTAATCATGTATATATTGACATAAGCACGTATTAAATAATGCATTTTTTAACACTAGTTTTTTAACTTAATGTATATATAACTTTTTATATAAATATAGTTTTATTTAATTCTCAGAACAAAAGAGAAATAATGCAACAACTCGCATCCCAAATATGCTACGAAATTAAAATAATTAATATTTAATTATAAACATAAATGTAGCAATTCAACTATTATATGAAAGTAATTATAATATCTTACAAACCGTATAAGAGTATTTGTGGAGAAATTTAGAAATGCCATTATTAATATGAATTCAGCGTATCATGAACAATACATAATACAGAAAGGAGGTACATCTGTTTCTATATAAATACATGACAGTATCAATACGAAAGGTCAGTTTCCTATTAAAACTGTAAACTGGTTTTCTGTTTGTAGTTTATTTCACCAATACAACCTATCACACCTGTATCACACTCAATTGATATTCAATTGAAATATTATATATTTGACCATGACCCGAACAGAGTGAAAATAAATCAAAGAATATGTAATCAATCTGATAATTCATGAATTAGGTTCAATTATTTTCTAACAAGCATTAATCAAATTAATCCAACCGGTATAATAACTCTTCTTATAAAATTCAAATTTAAAAGCTTTTATGTGTCGTAAAGTTTAATCTATTGAGATACAACAAAATATAAAGAATAAAAATATTTATAACTCTAACTTTATGTATTGGATATTATAATTTAAACTAATTACAATGAAATTAATAACAATATATGTTACATTAAATATTAAATATTACTATTGATTTGAATTTACATTACATTACATACATTGCGCAGACGTCCATATTGTAAATATATTAGATATATTTTATAATTAATAACAATAAATTATACAAGCTATAAGTAAATAATAAGAATGTCAAATAATTATTAAGATTGAAAATTGTTGAATCCATGAAATAAAAATAAGGAATTCTACAATATGTGTGTAATAATTAATTAACATCTGTAAGCATAATTTATAACGAGATGTAACATAATTGTGACATAAGAATTGAAAATTTACTTTAATGATTACAGATATAGATATTGGAGCCACAACAGAGATCCTTGAAAACATAAAATGAAAAAAGAAGAAGAAAAAAATGAGTCATTGGCTTTAAAAAAGAAAAGTCCAACCGATAAAAGCCTATTCGCTGGCTATCAAAGATTCAAAGAAAAGTAGAACATTGTAAAATACAGGCATATAGATAGCTACTGTAAAGCCTCGCAAATAAAAATAAAGAAAGATTTCAGAATACTTAATTAAACTATCGTCTCTAGATTACCTATTCATCATAAATACGACTCTCTCGAGTGTATTACATCACAATTTTACATAACAAATCCAAACATACACGAGTACTCTGCAAATTTATATTTATATTTCGTTAATTTTTACACGGGCATAAGGATAAACGTATCGTAAAGTGCAGAAACAATGCGTAAACGAGGCAACCTCGATAACGTATGTGCACGGCTGCATGTATGTACACGGAAATTGAGGTTAGATTTTTTTCTTCTTTTTTTTTCCTTCCAACCCCCCCCCCCTCATGCCGCCGCCAAAGAGCTATCTAATCCGTGGACTTTAAAGTGACGAGAAATATAATGAAAAATAGTCCACTCACGCCCTATCCACGAGCTCGCGCACTTTCCACATGTTCATCATCCTGGCAACGAGGCCGATCTCGGCTATCGTACGAAGAAACGCGTGTACGTGGGCGCAATGCCGAAATTTCCTCAGCCACTGTTGCGCACTGGGCTGCACTTGACCGCTTCACAACACCAGATGTTCTGGCGTAGCACATCTACACGGATATGGCGAAGTTGTTGGTGACAACGACGACAACGTCGAGAAAGAGGATTCGAAGTGCGCTGCCAGGGACGTCATCAGTTCACACACTCGGTGGCCATATTACTACACCTCAACATTTCAAGTCACCTCTCACTTTTTATGCCTCTCTCTCTCTCTCTCTCTCCCTCCCTCCCTCTTTATCCCTCTCGCTCGCTCTATCACTCGTTTCCTCGCTTGTACAGTTAATTACACCATTGCCAGTTGCCGCCTATATGAAATTGCATATGGAATAGTCGTATGAGATTTTAGGTTAAGACGAAACATGCTACTTGGTATCGCCCTCTCCCTTATGCTTTCCCCAAAGACAAATTGGCCATTTGCAATTATACAAAAGCCTATGAGTATCTCATTAACTTTTGAAAAGCAGAATGTCCAAGCAGACCGCAGAGGTAAAGAGGGATTTGAGTTTATCGATTTTCCGCACGGAGGGCAGGAGTTCGTGATTCGTGAGTGACGGGAAGTCACGTTGTCAGTGAATGGCGCTGATTTTCCGGACACGACAGCAGCATGCAGTACGCACAGATGCCAAATACTACTGGACGAATAAGTATGTAACGACACTGCTTATCGGCATTTATCTATCTATGTGTATCTCCCTCCGTTGTCACTCCATCGCCGCCCCCCTTGACACACGCGCGCGCGCGCATGTATATACATATATATATATATATATATATATATATATATATGCGCACGTATTACACTATCTCTCGTGTGGGTGCCTAAAGCAAGATAAAGCGCATGTGTTTGCGTTCGGGCGCGAGAGGCCGACAGATATTTCTCTCATTATCGCCGATGCATTTTATCGAATTGAAAGACGGAAAAAGAAATCGTGTTTTATCAAGTCCCCCCCCCCCTCCTCCTCCTCCCTCTCTTTTTGTCACCACTCCGTGCATCAATCCACATATCAACGAATCTATAATATACTTAAGTCTCGGTAAGATTAATACAAGTGCATTGGCATTTTTTTTTGTATTTATCATTAATTTTGAGTTTTTTCATGTTTGAATATTTGGAATATATTCGAGTAATTTTTTTTCATGTTTTAATTATTATTCGTCAGCGTGTCGGTGCAAATGTAAAAAAACCGTACGTCAAAGTTGGCAAATATTATTGACAAAATTAAAAATTAACAACAAACGACAAAATTTTTATTTTAAATTAAATAATTTTATAATCCGTTTAATTTTTTACAATTTTGTATATTTTATAATTACAATCTTAGATAAACAAATGCAATTGCAATTACAAATCATTATCAATCCAAGTGTCACTTGAGTTTTTTTTTCTTTTGTATAATGCCTTCACGATGTAGTAATTAATAATTATAATTATAATGCCTTCATCTTAACGATTATAGTAACTTTATCCATTAAAATCTATTTAATAATTTTACTATTTAAACATACTTTTTCTAGATACGCTCGTAGATGATACTTGCAATTTATCATAGCAGACAATTATGATTGTTACAGAGACATCTTGATACTTCCGGTAGCAAGTAAACGTAAGTTGAATAGACGAATTAATAGTTAGAAACGCCGACTAATTCAACAGATTTCTCGCCAAAATCTAATAAGATTTATTTGGCAAATGTGGAAAGTTAATGTACTTGGGTGAGGGCGTTTTTCATACTGATAAAATTCAGGAATAATATTATACGATATTAATATTATGTAGCATGAATAACGCACCGTTAACTTAAAAGATATTCTATAAATAGTTATTTAAATTTGTCACGCAATGACACTTTTTCGTTAATACGTGTTAAATAAAATCTATAAAATAAAAGAATTTTGTATAGGGAATTTGTGATTGTGACTTTACAGAGGTTCAAAATGGTATTTAAGGTTTTGAGAAACTGGAAGCATTTTCATACGTATATAATTAGCGAAAAGAAGAGATCGAGTATTTACAAATTAAAGTATATTGGCGTTGGAGCATTGGTAGCCACTGGCGTTACAGTTTATAATACATGCGATTTTAATGTTTATGCTGCTAAGTCAGATATAAATGCCCAAGAATTTCTGGCAGAACCAATAACGAGTTTGGAGCATTTAACAAAACATCAAAATGACATGAAATCAAAGATGGAACTTATGATAATGAAAATTCAGGCAGAATTTGTTAAATCGCTCGAATCTTTCGAAGACGATAATTTGAAATTTAAAGTCGATCGATGGTTGAGGAAGGAGGGCGGTGGAGGTATAACTTGTATTTTACAAGACGGAACAGTTTTTGAAAAAGCTGGTGTAAATACCTCCGTGGTTACTGGCACGCTACCTCAGAGCGCTGTACAACAGATGAGAGCTAGAGGTAAACATATGGATGACGGGCCTTTACCTTTCTTTGCGGCTGGCATTAGCGCAGTTATTCACCCTAGGAATCCAATGGTATCAATTTTATTTCTCAATAAAATACTAATTGTAGCTAATAAAGTTTTTAAGAATCATATTATTAACTTATATAAAAGCATAATCTGTCATGATAGAGGCGCACTAATTTAACATTAATAATAATGTATTAATTATTAAATCATCCAGATTCCAACAATCCACTTTAATTATCGATACTTTGAAGTGGTAAATAATAATTCGATACAATGGTGGTTCGGTGGTGGCACCGATCTAACTCCGTATTATTTGAATGAAGAGGATGCAAAACACTTTCATCGTACTTTACAAGAGACTTGTAATAACTACGATCCAACTTATTACGCTAAGTTTAAAAAGTGGTGCGACGATTACTTTAATATACCTCATAGAGGCGAAAGACGAGGTATCGGTGGTATATTTTTTGATGATTTGGATACACCCGACCAGCAAGAAGCTTATAATTTTGTGGAGTCCTGCGCCAAATCTGTGATACCTTCTTATATACCACTGGTTGAAAAACACAAAAATGATGGTTATGGCTATGCCGAACGTCAGTGGCAATTGTTGAGGAGGGGCAGATACGTTGAATTTAATTTAATTTACGATAGGGGAACAAAATTTGGCCTTTACACGCCTGGTGCTAGATACGAGAGTATTCTCATGTCTCTACCTTTAACAGCTAGATGGGAATATATGCACCAACCAGATGAAGATTCGAAGGAAGGTAGATTAATCGAAGTTCTAAGGAATCCTAAAAATTGGCTTGAAATTAAATCGTAAATTTGTGATATTATATAAAGTTAAAAACTGAAATAATAGTTTTATATTACTTAACATTTATTATACTTAATGGAAATGAGGCAATATACTTTAGGTAATAGAGTAATCTATTTTAGTAGTAAATGTGAAAATTGTAAGTACAATTGAAATGAATTATTTTTATAACATTTACTCATCAAATGAGCATGCACGTGTGATAAGGAGGGACAGAGGAATGTTACTTTAAAAAATGTATGTTTATGATAATAAAATTTTTAATTTGACTATAATTTTATACTTTTATTATGAAATAGCATTGCATCTAGCACATAGCATAAAATATCAAATTACAATTTGCAACAATTTGCGATAAAATTAAGAAGTGCACGAGCATTAAATTCTAAACAGGAACCAATTGTATAACCAAAAAATAACACTTTTAAACTCTATTATATAATAGTTCAGTACAAAAGTTTTTTTTTTTTTTAAATTTAATGCTGTATCTTTATAAATAAATGCAATACTGAACAATAGACAATCATCTATCTAGGTAAATTGTAAGCAACGATTGTTTTCATTATCTTTTTAAGAAGAATTAACAATGTTTCTTTTGCTGCCCAAAAATTAATCTTGGCAATTATCATAAATATTTACATATATACAAATTATTACAAGCACCAACGTAATTTCCATTTTCAATTAAAATACGTGGGTACACACATTTCACGCAATATGCTGTATGTTTTTTCATTAAGTTTCGAGTTAAATTTGAATAAATTTTTTTTTCACTTTATATTTTTCTTTAAAATATCTTAATACAAATTTTAAGTTTATTATCCTAAGAAAATTAATTACACATAAATGTATGTATGTATGTGTGTGTGTGTGTGTGCGTGCGTGTGTGTGTGTATGCGCGCGTGTATCTATGTATATACTTATGCGTGCGTGCGTGCGTGCGTGCGTGCGTGCGCGCGTGTGTGTAATTATACATGAGAAAGAGAAGTATTTTGTTAGTGGCTTACTAAATTAAAGTTCCACATATACATTGTATAAAGGGTAAAATCTACTCTGGAAATATTCTTGTGAAACAAAATTGTATGTATGTGTATATATATATACATATATAACTTTTCTCAGGATATTCTAAGCGAAATCAATAATAGTTGTATATTCAAATTGCTAAGGCCCCTTTTTTTTCTTTTCATTTATTCTCATTTTTGAGTCACTTCGATACGAATAGAATAATTTTCGTCTTATTACTCTCTTAAAATGCATACAGCGCACTTTCTTTGTTCATAGGTGAAGGAAATTCATACACGCATTTTCCATTTTAAATGAAAAATTTAAAATTTTCTATCGCTTTTTGAAATAAATAGCGCTTACAGGTATTACATATTTATGCCGCTCAAAGTTTATAGCGTTAATTATATAATCGTTTCTTTAACGCGCGCTCGTATATAAAAAAAAAGTACATTGAGTTTTATGGATTCTCTGATTGTTCATATGATAACTTAGTCCATTTTTCTCTCAAATGTTCTTGCATTTAATAATCATTAATATGAGTCCTTACTAACTATTCAAGTAAGGTTCAGCTGATACCGATGTATAGAAAAGCAGATATGCGCTATTACTTTGACTTTTAACTTGATTCTGATGAACTTCAGTTACTGTATGGTCGTCGTATTTATACCACCTGCAACGAATTAATTATTGTAGTAATCGTCAATGTTATTGATTTCAAAGTTGCAACAAAAAATGCATAATACATTTAAAAATATAAGGTACCAAAAGTTTTGTAGAAAAATAATTGAAAAATATGTATTAGTGTATTAGAATTTTAATCTGTGATAAGATTGATTGTAATGCAAAGTATTACACATTCGATTAAAAAAAAAAAAAAAAAAAAGTCTAAAGACGAATGAAACTAAAGAATAAATTCAAATGTGCGCGTGTTTGTACGTTTATAAATTTAAAAATCATTAATTTTAGTATTATTATACTTAATTGTTAATATATACAAGATTTTGAAATCAAATGTTATAATGCAGCATATTTTTAATACAAGAAAAACTTGTAATTAATGGTACACAGATATGTACATTGTAAATTCTCTTATTACGCAAGAACTCACTTATTTTGGGTATTATTTTTGCAATAAGCTGTGTAGTGTCCACCATCCATAGTTCCATAATGATTTGACATGGCGTAGAGATTATAGTTGGAGGCTTGAGAATTGTTAAGATGGTTATCGTCTTGTGAAAAATACGTTCTCAGAGTGAAATTGCAAAGTGGAAATTCAACGGCCGTGTTTTTCTTCTCGAGCCATCCTCCTGTATCCCCGAAACGATTCAAATGAATAACAATGATGTGTGGTAGCTTTGCTATTTCGAATTTTTTCATCCCTTCCCGCGGTACTTTGCAATTTGGGCATTTCCAACCCGAGACCTTCTGACTGCTCACGAATTTTCTTACACAATCCTGAAAATTACATATTCTTATTATTTTTATCGACGCACTTGGTGATTTCTTTCGTTTTGGTTAATTTGATAAAAAAAAAAAAAGAAAGAAAGAAAGAAATTGTGAGTAAAAAATGTTTAATATCCATATATTTAGTCTTTCTTTAGATTTTTCTTTAATTCACACAGAACTTAATGAGTGAAACTATCAAATTGTAAATAATCATTAATGGTAATCGTTATATATTGAAATTTCAAACTACAAAAGGAATTTAACTGAATTAATGTTTAATGGATGCTACAAAAGCACGTAAAATCTTCCCGCATTTAAAGTTTACCGTGACTTTTGAACTTTTTGGAAGTAAACAACTTACATCTAAAGAACATTTACTTGAGCCTGGCAAGGACATTGTCAGGCTATTAAAAGTTTCAAACGTTGTACTATTTTTGCTACAATGTACGCATTCAATGGTCGATCTTAATTGTCCGAAAAATAGCTCTGAAATTTTGGAACTTTGCCCATCCATGGATTTTTCCCATTCTTTTTCTGCAGTAGATAATGGTCGATCATAAGAAACCTTACTTTTCTAAAAAATAAAAAAACTATTATCATTATTACATATGTCGTGATTAATTGATTACATTTTTATATATTATGTACAAACCTGTTTTAAGTCATTGTGCATCCAGTCTAGTAAAAACATTAAGAATTCATGAGAATCTTGTTGATCGAAGCTTTCAAATTGTAGCTTATATTGCCCGACTACAACCTAAAAACAATAAGTTAAACATTGCCAGTACTTAAATATATTTCGAACATACAAATGTATTCAAAAATAACAGACCGCTCATATCATCATCGTAATGTAATTAATCTTTCAATTAATTAAAAAAAAAAAAAAAAAATCATTAATATCGATATTTATTAAACGCGATATGTCTATCTCGCAACTATTAAATAATCATTGTACAGACCTTCAGATCACGTGGCGATATGCTTTTGAATTGCCCTCTCCATAATGCTTTTATAACCTGAGCAACTTCCTCGGCCACGTATCCTGTAACGCCTTTGTCGGTATTTTTGTTAAGATCGTTAATGTACGAATTGTTGATGAAATATTGTGCCAAATATGCCGTGTTACTGAGGCATTGGATAATACTATTCATGTAGCATGAATTGCCGAGATTTTTCAATCCTGTAATTCCTGGACACTGAAAAGGCAAATAATAATGTTCAGAAAACTTTTCTTTTGCATAAGCAAGTAAAAAATTTCATTTAATTTTGGACGCTATTATGAATTGATAATTTACAAACTTATAATATAAACTAACATTAACATTAACATAATTGAAAAATGATATTTGATTTAATAAATTCTTTGATGTTTCTACGCGCAATGCTAATTTAATATATTTGTATATTAGACGCACTTGTATATTAATTAATTTACATATACATTAAGTTTTCTATGATATGGCTCTTACTAATGACTGTTTATAAAAAAAAATAAACAAAAAAAAAACAAAAAAAAAGCAAAAAAAAAACATGTACGATAGCTAAAACATTATCATTGTCTTCTGCAAGTGTCTACAAAGTTTTTATAATCTTAGCTGATTGCATTACCGCAAACAAGATACAATACAAATTTAGTCGCAATAAAAACTTATACGACCAATTTCTCTAAGATGGAAGAAAGGCCGACACAAATTTTCATAAAACATAAGCCACTTAAGATACTTTCACTCCATAATCCACTGTATAATAATTTACCTACAAATATAATATAAATGAATCCAGTAAATAAATTGTACTTTCTTTCGCTACAAATTTTTCCTTGTATATCGACATAAGGTTAACCAACAGATTGCACAATATTTATAATAATTGATATCAGAAATCATCCCTTAAATATTAAATAAAGACTAAAGATCTTATGATTGAAGAATCTTATTACCGACGTTCTAATTTTTTTATCAATATTCACTACAAAAACTTCATTATATTTGTATATATTAATAAAAAAATTAAAATTATTATCCTTATGAAAATTATAAGCCAGTAATCTATTGATATTTTGGTGTAAGATAATGCTTGCTGGAAAATGAAGACATTTTATGATCAATTATGAATTACGTAATTACTATGTTCTTCATAAACTTACTTATTTTTAAAAATATTGTAAATATTTGGGCAATTTTCTAATTCCTCGATATTAAAAGAACTTTGATCATACTTCTATTATGATAAAAAAAATATTTAAATGAAACTTATTGCACTGTGTCTGTTTGAGAATAAGAGACTCCGTTTAGTAAGGCAATAAAATATCTGACAAGTAATGTCATGAAAATTGTATTTAAGACTTCAAAACATTCCT